AACCTCAGAGTATAGACAGCGGAAAGACAACTCTGATCTTCAGGCGAAGACTCCAAATCCACAGGGACAACTGACTGGTTGATCACAAGCATAATTCCTCCAAACTCTAACACTCTGGTACCTATCCGGGATTTTTATCCAAAGATTTAAAAAATAAAGCAAGCGTAAGTACTTGTCGTACTCAACGAATATAACATAGGGTTCATGAGGCTCAAAAGGCTAACACTGGTTTAACTACGATTAGCTTTTAATGAGTCATAATTTTAAGCAGTTGAGTAGCATCAAACTTATCATAAGCCCGTATAAACACATGATCAGGTAAGCATGAATAATAAATAGCATAAACAATTAACCATTAGTGAGTATCTTCATCATCCACATCATTAGTGTTCATCATCTATTCCGTAAGGGTTCCAAGGCCGCTCGTGATCGTGAGCACGGCTGATATATCAGTTTTACACTCTACAGAGGTTGTACACTTTCACCATGAGTCGTGTTACCCATATGCCCGGGTTTGCAACTCCCAAAACACTTTCAAGGTGAGCAGGTAGGGTACACTACGAAGCTTTTCCCCAGTCATTCTAATAAGGAGCAGCCGCTAAGGATTCCATCTCCCAAGTGTTATGGAGTCATCTCCAGAAGTGACACTTATACACGCAACATAGTACACACCCTGGGGATGAGGCCCATACCCAGCCTGGTATGCCCCTCTTGCACTTTTCGGTAAACTGCTACAAACTAGAAAGAGCAAGGTACTAGACTAAGACCAAAGCCATGTAGCCCTCATAGTTGTACTGTAAGTCGCGGATGATCACTTATAGATAAGTCCTTAGGGAGAGGAATCTAGCGCACCATAAAAACAGCCCAATGCTCTAGCCCCCTTGTTCCATGTTGCTAAAAAGCATCTTTTAGTGTTTATCGCATATACCATTAGTCAAGTTACAAGATCATGGTTGTAGTTGAGCACTAGCATCATACTACCCAATGCAATACCCCATAGGTATCAAGGCACAAGGTACAAAGTACTAGGACATCCTTAGTGGTAGTCAAGATAGACACATGCAGTATGAATTAAATGATTAAAGATGTATAGGGCAACAAGGATGATCCCATATTATATTTGCCTTAAAACTCATATCCTTCTTCTATTTTACCAACGTACTTCTCACCGACTGGACATGATCATAAAGCACCATACAAGCATCCATGCAATCATACACGAAGCAAACAATAGAACTAAATCAGAACAGTACACCAAACATAATAAATAGCAAGTAAAAAGGTTTTAAAGGTGTTCTAGATGTCGCTACGAACATACAGACATGAAAAGCACGCTAATCAGAACTACGGTTGTAAAGAAACGACTACATGGTTTTATATTATAAAAGAAAAGAGAAGACTATAAGCTTGATTTATGTTCATTAGGAAAAACTATGTGAGTAGCATTAATTTAGATTAAATAAATCATATTTATACTTAAAAACGGAGTCGAAGCTAATCATATTTTATTTATAAATATTTTGATATCATTTATGCCAATTCAACTTTAACACGCAAATACAAACTAACATCTGAGAACATCTAATCAAATTTGATGTGTGTTTAGACTAAACATATTATAATTTAGAAGCATATTTATGTTAGCAACTAGTCATGTTAAAACTTATTTGCAAAAGAGCATTGTATATAATTATGTTGCTTTTATTTATAAAAACTAGTTGCATGCATGTTAATCAAATTAATATTTAACCATATATATAAAAGTCACTAGACATGAAAAACGACAACACTAGCATGTAGATCACATCGATACAAATCTAACGCAATTGGAACGACTCGAAATGGACTTAAAACGAATATACGACGATGACATTATGAACTGACGGTAATTTTGTAATTACCTGGTCTTCATCCTTTGGCCTCCCGTACAACCACCACACGGCCATGGCAACAGCAGCTGCGCAGGGGTGGGCTCGACTTATTGCACGAATGAGAGGATGGCCGGGCTAGGCAGCGCGATGGTGACGGCAACAGCGAGAGAAGGAGGAGAAAAATCTAATTTACTACACGAGGGATTTTCCAAACTAGGGGTTCCCCTTACGGTAGTTTTGGTGTGCTTTACCCAAGGGATTGATACATATTTATAGGGAGAAAAACTTTCCACATCTACAACAACTAGCAATATGGTACTAATTGATGTTGCACCCTCCACATTTACTAATGGGACTAAATAACCATTAAAGCCCATTAGTAAATAAATGCATGGTCTTTAGGATTTATTAGGATTATTGCACATGGGCTTTGAGTGTTGGAAAAAATGAGAGATTTATTATTTTTTAAATTAATTAATTTTGTGGATAAAATAATTCCAGAAAAATCTAGAATTATTATTTAAGCCGCGACAAATACTCCGAAAGCTCTGAAAATTCGGGAAAAATTCCTAGAGATATTATGGAATATGAGGAACCCAAATAAAGTATTTAGAGCCCATGATAAGATAATTTGGAGCATCTAAAAATTAAATTATGTTCACAGACAAGTAGGAACAAGTTTCAGAAAAAAGCTGTAAAAATTCCCGAGAAGTTTGTTGAGATTGATTGATGGACGAGGAACTAAAATGAGTGATTTGCATTACAAAGAAAAGATTTTAGGAAGCTCCCAACGAAAACTTGAGTCGAGAAACAAAGAATTTGATTGTAGAAAAGATAAAAGGCGTGCGAGAGAAGGAAAAATCGACCTACTAACGCATTTTAAAGACTTTGCTCACTCTCAACACACAAAGAAGCAACAAGCAAACATCACATCATCCAAAAGCCCATGAAAATTAGAAAACTTTGAAAATTCACATTTTTCCTATAACTAAATTTGCGCTTAGCTCAAACTAAACTTGGTAAATTTTATCCAAATATTAAAATAATTCATTTTATTTAGTGTTTTCTATGCACAACCCAAAATAGGAAATTTTGGGGTGTGACCAGAAGTCACAGCTCTTTCTTTCTTTAGTCGAGGCAAGATGAGTTATTGTGCTAGATAATATATGCAGCACCTTGAGACTTGGCATGTGGTGCTAGATGATTCTTTTTTCTTGACAAAATGAGCTCGTGACTTTGATCTTTCAAAGCTATTCCAACTGTACGCTTCACTATTTCTAATTTATTACTAATTTCATCTTTTTTTGAACATATGTTTTAGATGGGTCAAAGAAAATTGTACTTGCAGTATTACTTAGACTACTGCCATTATATGTGGAGGAGAAGATTAATTACCGGTATTTTTGTGTGTCTGGCCATGCATCTGTATAGGATTAAATCAAGAAAAAGAAGAAGGGCCATAACTTATGCTCCGATGATAGATAGAGATGTTGAAAGATTGTCACGTCTAAATCGTTTGTATCATGGTACTGAGGCCCATTGCATAAATGAGCTACGTATGAGGAAAGTTGTTTTCCATAGACTATGTGATGAACTTAGATCACCTGCCTTGCTAGAGGAGACTTTTCATGTCATAATAGAGGAACAAGTTGCCATGTTTATCCATTGTGTTGGGCAACGTTGGTCAAACAGATTAATTGGTTTTGAGTTCATTAGGTCAAGTGAAACTGTTAGTAGGTATTTCCATCATGTCTTAGACGCCCTTTGTACCCTTGCTCATGACCTTATATGCATCAGATCTGTTGACACACATTCAAAGATAACAAGTGCTCCGGACAGATTTCACCCTTACTTTAAGGTACATAAAAATTGCTAATCAGTGTTTCGAATTTACTTTAGGTGTCATACTCATCTATTTTTTTTAAAAAATTATTTTTGTACGGATGCATAGGAGCCTTGGATGGTACACATATACCAGCATGTGTACCTTTCCATACGCAGGATCGGTTTAGGGGTAGAAAATCAATTACCACCCAAACTGTGCTAGCAGCAGTTGATTTAGACCTAAGATTCATATATGTTCTTGCTGGATGGGAGGGCTCAGCCCATGATTCTTATGTGCTTCAAGATGCTCTATCACGTCCTAATCGGCTTAAAATACCAGAAGGTAGGAATACCCCATTATGTCCTAACAATTTGAATCTAAAACTTCACCTATATTCTTAGCTAATTAATCTCTATAAAAAACAATGATGTAGGTAAATATTTTCTAGCTGATATTGGATATGCAGCAAGGCCTAGTGTATTACCCCCTTACCATGGTACTCGATATCAGCTAAAAGAGTATAAGGGGGCCAGGGAGCCTGAGAGCCCCAAGGAATTATTCAATCTTCGCCATTCCTCACTTAGAACAACTGTTGAACGAGCATTTGGTACCCTCAAGAATCGTTTCAAAATCTTCGCAAGTCAGCCATTCTTCCCTTTGAAAACACAAGTCAAAATTGTGATGGCTTGTTGTGCACTTCATAATTGGATCTTACAGGACGGTCCTGATGAGTATGTTTATGATGATGCTACTTGGTACACAACCTTGCCTCGAAGTGTAAGAAATCATAGTGATATACACCGGGAAAATGTGGCATGGGCTAATAAAAGAGATGGGGTGGCTCAAAGGATGTGGGAAAATAAAGTAGGAGCAACTGTAGATTAGGTTCAAGAAATTATATAACCAATGCTACTATCTTTGCATATTTCTTCGTGTGCCTTTCTTGTTGATTTGCTTGTATGTATGAAACATACATATATAAGCGCGATGCTTTCTATTATCTTCACTGGTTCATTTGCTTCTATTATCTTGTTGAGTTTGCTTAAATAAAGTATGCTTGTACACAGTTTGCTTAAATAAGTTGTCACTGTCATTTATTTGAGCCTGACTCATTTATTTGTCACAGTCATGCTGTAAATAAATTATATCTATACACAGTTTGCTTAAATATTTTGTACCTGTACACTGAATGATTTTAATTAAATGTCTCTTTATTAGTAGTGCACTTGTAGGCTGCTGTTTGGAAGGGAGTACTAGTACAGTCACTTGTATGATTTTAATTGTCTCTTCTATGTGAAACAGCCATGGCCAAGGGAAAGGCTAAGGCTGATGCTTTTGCATCCTCTCGTGAGAGGTCCGTGGGTCCGTGAACTGGCATGAGGATCAGTCGAAGTACATGCTAGAGTGGTGCATGGAGCATTTGAAAAAACAACATGCAGGATTTAAGTTCAAGAAGGCACATCTCATGTTGTGTGCCAATGATTTAAACAAGAAGTTTGCTATGGGGTGACTATTGATCAAGTGGACCGTTATCTGTAGGCACCATAGAGAAAATTGGAAGTACATTGCAACAAACATTGAGCAATCACTGGCAATACATTTGATGAAAAAAAGATGCATGGTGAATATTTGAGAATCTAAAAAGAAAAATTATGTGTAAGTTGTTTGTACTGAATATATTCTATTTTACAATCTAAAATCAATTCCCTTGTTCACATGAATATAAACTGAATTTTACTTTTCACATGAATGCAAGGTACAGAGCAAGATGCTGCTTGCGAAGCCCATCAAGTTCTTCAATGAGATGAGAGAACTATTCATAGGATCCAATGATGATGGTTCTTTGGCTCTGGACTAGAACACATGCATGGATGCTGCTAATGGCTTAGATAGTGATGACTCAAGAGAACTATTTGACCTCAATACCTACACACAGCCTGAAGATCTAGAAGGTGAGGATTCAGACACTTTGCCAACTCCAACTAGGCATGCAACGGTTGACAACACATCTTCTAGCACTAGTCAAGCTAGCAAGAAGCGTCCAAGAGCCAAGAACTCACCAACTAAGAAGTCAAAAAAGACCATTTTGCTGATTCCACTGATGAAATTAGTGCTACAATGAAGTCACTTCGGGAAACACTTGTTGCCACTGGCCCTCCCCCAATGCCACAGCTTACTGATCCTCATGCAGCATTATTGCAGAGACTAGAGGCAATCCCAATGACACCAAATGAGAGGGTTCTTCTTGGTGAACATTTGTCTACCAAGGAAATTAAAGGTAAGCGTGGCTGGTTGTGTAATGCAAGTGCTGATACTCTGCATGCTTGGGTGTTCAAGTTCTTATGTGAGAAGGAAGGCATTAACCTGTGAAGCTTAGCTTGTGAGGGTGGCTGTTCATATTTTGTGGCGTGCCCAGGAACTTAGTTGTGTGATTATTTTGGTTGTGGTGATGACTTATGGCTTAGGATGTAATATAGTTGGATGTGTGCTCATTTTGGCGATGCATGCATGGCTGGCTGCTGCTTTTGTAATTAATCTAAACCTCCTAGAATGTATTTATGAAGATGGTATTTCGTGCTTGTAATATTATTGAAACATATGCTGGTTGTTACTTTTTATTATTGCTGGAATATATATTGTTGTTTGGGAAATGGGTGTCTTTCCACTATAGCTTTGAGGTATATGTGGCTGCAAACCAAAAATATGCCACAACATTTTACCAAATTTTTGTGGCAGAAATCCATACAGCAGCCACACTTATTTTGCCAAACCTTAGTCATAAACCAAACAACTTGTTTTTGCCACAGATTATGGCAAGCCACACATGTGGCTGGTGCCTAACATTAATCATGGCAAATTGTAGCTGGGAACCAAACATCCCCTATATCTTTTGGCGATACACTATAAAAAAATCTAAATCACCTTGAGGGCCAACAATTTTCTTAAGGCCAACAATTAAACCGCTAAGAATATACATAGTTATTTCTTCAGCGGTGTTAGTAAACCTCCGTAAAATGTAAATTTTTAGGGGGTTAAGCAGGCAAACTGACAAGTAATAACTGGATCTTTTCTTGTCGGTTTTACAGTGTCAAGAAAATCATTTTCTTGAGTGTTGACAGCTAAGGGCCGGGGTTTCTTCTTGTCGGATATATGAAATTTTTTTGGCAGTTGACATCCAAGAAAATTACTATTATCTTAGCGATTAAGGGTGGTGACCACCAATAAACTGCTTACCTTTGCGCTTGAAACATTTCCTGGCTATCAAGGAAAGTTATTCCCTTGGTGGTTCAAACATCTTTTTTTGGCGCTTTGGTAAATTTGACGCCGTCCTAGTTTTGTTGGCGGCCTACCTCCAAGGAAAGAATCCTTGAGGACTAGAACCGCTGAGAAAAGAAATTTCCTATATCCTCTATATCATCATCGGTATAATTTGCTTGAGGGTTGCCAAGAGTATTTCCTTAGCAACTTTGGTATTTGTTTGTAGCACTCAATGCAAGATAATTCCATTTTGTGGTAGGCAATATGTACGAAAGGACTTTGGGCAACGTTCTCATATGCTCGAGCACGATGTTGGATCATTTTTCGTTACTAATAAACGTGCTGGTGCGTTGCACAGTACATAATATGTGTTGAAATTAGACTCTGTATTATTGCTCGACGTGGATTGTTCTAACTGGTATGACATGAGGGTGGATCATATAGAGAACACAGAGGATGCAAGTGTGATTTGGGAGGTAATAAACAAAATAAAAGAAGAAGAATTTAGGAAGTAGAGTGGTGAATTTCTGCATACATACTGAATGTTCTTTGAAACAATACGGAAGCTATTGCAGACATCCCTTGTATTGTATTTGCCGACAAACACTTTGGAAACTGGCACGGCTATGTTTGTTTCCTCTCTTAAACTTTAGTCCCTGTCATATTGGATGTTTGACACATGTATAGAGTATTAAATATAGACTAATTGTGAAATTAAATGCACAGATTGAGGTTAATTTGCGAGATAAATTTTTTAAATCTAATTAGTCCATAATTTGATAATATGATGCTACAGTAAACATGTGCTAAGGACGGATTAATTAGGCTTAATAAATTTGTCTAGTATGTTACTGAGAACTTCTGTAATTTGTTTTATTATTATTATCTGAACATTCGATGTGATACCCCCATGTAACACCCGATGTGACACCTCTAAACTTTAGTCCCTAGATTTTATTTTATTATTACTATCCAACCACTCGATCTGTGTAACCCCCAACGTGACAGCCCTGGCACTTAGCCAAACAGGGCGTAACATTGGCCGCTACAGGCCTACAGCGGCGCTCCAAACTCAGACTACCCAGCATACATGGACGGATCCCAACATACGGGTCACGCACCAATCGTAGCACCAGGTTCCATGTTGGCGTCTTGGCGATCCCCCAAACACACCCGAAGCCATTATTTGCCGTCTGATTTGCCCATAAACAAACACACATGAAGCCGATCTGAATAGTGCGTCCCTATCGTACACATATGCTCGAGGTCTCTCTGTCCAAAAAAAAAGATATACTCCCACATCTCGCAAAGAGTATCATTCTCGTTTTATGAAAAATCAAAAATATACTTTTTAACTTTGACTAAATATATAAAAAATATTAAAATTTATGGTGTATAACTGATATGATTAGATTAATCGTTGGATAAATCTTCAAAATAAGTTTATTTGGAGATAGAAATTTTGCTATGATTGTGCTACCTCCGAAACATTATGATTGAGCCTATAGGTCTCGAGATTGATAAGATCACCCTAAGCATCTTGTTGTCGATGGGCATATCGTCTATCACTAAAAGAACAATGCTGCTAAATTATAGAATAAATCAAGAAAAATGTGAACGTCCGAGTGAAGTCAAAAACTTGAACTTGGATGGACAGATTCCATCGTAAACAAAATTTTTGTGTCAAAGAGAAACACCATATTTCTAGATAAATATTTTGTATAATAAATTACCCACGTCCTTTTTTTTCACCGTTGATTATAATGCCCTTCCGGTTGGATATTCACAAGAAGACGAACATGCATGGAATGAACAACTTAATAAAACTCTACTGGTTCTATAAAAGTGAACTGATTTATGTAAAGTTCTTACATGATTCTTGTGAGTATGTGAAACAACACGCATTTTATTTCGAGAGAATTATGTATTTGGTACTGAACAAATCAGTCTTTCTATTTGGCACTAAAAAATTTGAGCTTTCTTATCTAACACCAAGTTGAGATCTCTTTCCCTAAATAGCACTGCAGTCTATTTGGGATAGTAATGGTGCCAAGTGGCTGGTAAAATGATATAAATGCCCTTGTTTGTAGCAGAAGTACGTAGTGCCAAAGAGGAAAAAGAATAAATGGACAAAGGTTGTCAAATAAGTAAATCATAAATATCACAAATAAATAGGAAAAGAAACTATAACTTTTATTTTGGTCATTTCTCCCTCCGAGGTTGTTTGAAAAAATACGAATTTTAGTGCTTAATTTTTACTATTCGACGTCTACAAATCCAATTTATAGGGGCGGCCCCTACAAATCAAGCCATTTGTAGGGGCGGCTGATAACACCAGCAGCCCCTACAAATCGTCTCGTTTCGGTAAGTCTGGGCGTTCGGTTAACCGAAACCGATCGGTTCGGTTCTTCGGTTCTTCAGCTAATTCGGTTACCTGAGAAGAAGGGACCGATCGGTTACTTTAAAAATGCGGAACCGAGGAATTTCGGTTTCGGGTAATTCGGTTCGGTTTCGGTTCTAACCGATGGAACCGAATTTTTCAGGAACCAAGAAACAACCCATTCAACTGCAAATTTCAGCAACATTTTGCTTGATTTTCATGAAGTCAAAAGGGACAATTTAAACAGCAATGCAGCATAAAACAACAGTACAATACATATATGTTATTGTTCTCTCAAATATTCAAGCATAAAGCAATATTCAAGCCTGTATTCTAGGGGCCTTTACATAGTTCGGTTATTTCACGTCAATTCGGTTAACCGAGTGCGGGAACCAAATTAACCGTAATAATTTCGGTTCCTAGGAACCTGGAACCGAACCTAGGACCGAATATTTTGGTTTCGGTTACTTCAGTTTCGGTTCCGGTTAGTTCGGCTCGGTTCTCGGTTTTTTTTTTTTTTGCTCAGATTGACGTTTCGGCACCATTTGTCAAAAAAAAAAAAAGGCTTTGCTACAAATCTTTTTTTAAGTAGTGGCGAGCTCGACGCCTTGCCCCAGCTGCGGCCGTGCATCCAGCAAGCTCGACCACGACGGCGGCGGCGTGAGGTCAGCCTTGGCCCTGGCTGCTAGCGATGCGCTGTGCGTAGGCCGGAGGGAAGCAACCGACGCGAGACCACTGGCACGGCCGAGGCAAGGTCGCGGCTTTCAGCGTCAGCCACCTGCTGACGAGGAGCACGGCGGCCGGCATTGAGGGCACAGCGCAAGAGGGCCTGCCCACCGCCAGCCGACACCTCCTCCGCCCCTTGGTCCTCTCTTCCTGCGAGTTCCATCGATCTACATTTTTTTTTACGGAGAAAAAGACTCGTGCGTGAGTGCCGCGTCAGGGGATGGCATGGCGCCTGCGTTACTGCTGGTATTTTCGTCAACCTAAAAATAAACTAACATGATCAGCATAGTCAACTAATAGATGCCTGCAAATGGACGGCTATGCTATATAGGGAAAGAAATTTCAACTTTGTGTCAGATAAGAAAGTTCGAATTTTTCGGTGGCAGTGAGAAAGGACTGGTTTCTTTCGGTGGCAAATACATAATTCTCTCTTTAATTTTGTGTGCACACGCATTTAATCTGATTCCTACTCCAACATGCCAACAAGGAGGGTGTTCTGAATGTGTTTAAGCTAGAACAGGGAAGCAAACATGAGCATTGCAGTTTTACAGGTATCTGCTAATTTACCAAGCTGGAGCTAATTCCCGAGGGAGCAGCCTGCCGGTAAAGAAGAAAGAACCCATGACACGGATCACGGAACAGTGACGCGCGCGGAGACCTGAACGGACCCGAATCGGTCGGCTCCATGATGGGCCTTGCAGATTGGAAGCGGAAAGCGGAATGCCGGCGTGCCCCCGGTCGTCCGCAGAATTATAAAAGGCCATCTATGCGGACGCTAATTCCTCCACCTCCATTCTCCTTCGGCTCTCTAGCGGCGGAACAACATCTTCGAGCTCAGGTCCAAGGTGCGCAACCCTTTTTTTTCTGCCTATCTCTACTACCAGTAGTCTCTCTAACTATTTCTAGTGCCGTACTGTTGGTGATCTTTATAGCGGTACTGTCAGTCAGTTGGATTACGGGAATATTGGTTGGAATTTGTGGCTCGTCTCCGAGGATTTGTTGGATGAATATTAACAATTGTTCATGGTTTTTCTTGCGGAAAAAATTGTTCATAATGAGAAGGATGGAGCATAGCCCGTAAAATACGGGCCATATTAGATAGGAATTCATGTTACATATGTTCTTGGCATGGAATCAGGAAGCTTTATTTTTAGAATTATATTTTATACTCATACATAAAGGAATAACATGATAAACAATGACAAGTCCAAACTTCGATATCTCTTGGCCGTTGCGACTTTAGATTTATCTTTTTTTCTTCTTCTGCACCTATTTGAGTTGTTGACGCTTTTGGCTACTGCTATATATAGTAGCTTAAATAAAAGCAAGAAATGCATCTTCTGTTCGTTATTTGTGCTGCTGGAAATTCATGGCTGCATTTCCTTTTTCCAATAAGGGCCTGTTCGGTTAGGCCACGATGAGGTGATAAAGGTTATATAAATTAGTGAAACAATTCAGGTAGCAATCCCTAACAACTGAACGGGCCCTAAGTGTGCGCTAGCTTCTGTAACATTGCACTCTTCTTGGTTGGTTTAGCGTTGTCTCTTCCATTCCAATACAAAGTGTTCAGCTACATATTCCCTTTGTACAGAACTGAGTGAACCATGTAATATTTAACGATTGCTCAAGACTTTAAACTTCGTATGCATGCTAAGCATAGCGCGACACCTTGCTCTTCATATGAAAAAATGCATTTAGCAGTATATTTCTGTTCTTGCTTCTACATATTTTCAGTTAACAGGTTC